CAGACAACCGAAAAGTGGGTGAAGGGAGACATCGGACAGGGCAAGATATGACAAAATACCAATTTATAAACTATCAAGGGCTCATGAGGGAGGGGAGAGCGGGGAGAGAGGGGGAAAAAGTAAGGACCTAATGCCGGGGGTTTAAGTTGAGAATGATGAGGGCAATGAATGTGCAGGTGTGCTTTGCACAATTGCTGTGTGTATGGATTGTGATAAGAGTTGTATGAGCCCCTAATAGAATAATTTTTTAAAAAATAGCTGAGGCACGAGGCAACTTGTCCTCCTTAGTGACTGATAATCAAGGCAGCCTGTGTTCCTTCCTCCTTTGCTCCTGCAGTGACCTCATGGCCCAGAACTGTCTGCCCTAGAGCACGGTGGCATCCTTATTCCCCTCTAGGAGCAGCGCCGGAAAAGAACTGGATAGGAGAGAAAGCCTCTTTCTCCTAAGGGGAGAAGGAAAGAAAGGTAGCCCAGAAATGGGGTTCAAAGAGATGTTCAAAAAAGAATGTCTTCCCCTCCCAACGGCACAGGGGCTTGGATGCCTGCGGGTGCTGCAGGGTGAGAGAGCCACCCCTGCTCTGCAGGCTTTGGGCTCCAACCACAGGGCGTGGCAAAGGCAAATCTGCAGGCGCCCCACACAAGAGGAGGATGAGCACTGTTGCAGGAGGCCCATGTGCGAGGCTCCTGATGGACACGCAGCCTCAGTCTGTGAACGTTTTTCCAGCCAGAGGCCATGAGGCCACCAGGTGCACCAGGCTTCCCTGCACACCGGCTAGAGCACAGCCTCTCGGCCTTGCTCTCGCAGGTTTGGGTCCAGGAGTTCAGGGCCAGGATGTAAATGTAAACGTCTTAACAAGAACTTGAGGGGACCCAGTATATAAAGCAGTATGTTTTAACTCAGGTCTGCTAGCCTATGTCTGACATCACAGGTCCCCTGCACTGCCTGTGAGTGTGAGGCCAGGGACCTGAGTGGTTTTATCAAGCACCTGGGGAACTGATCGGATCTGGCATATGTAGGGGGAAACTCTGTTCTTGTTGAGCCTCATCAAGTGTCTCTCCAGCCTTACAGTCTGGCTTGAATTTGTCCTTGTCCATTGTCAGGCTGGTGAGTGCAGATCCATGAAGGGGTGGGGTGATTTTCAGGTTGGTCGGTCTGGGGGCAGAGCTCCAGGGTGGGCAGGCAGCCCAGTGGGAGGGGTCCTTTCAAGCCCTGTGACCACATTGGATGTGGTCCAGAACCCACCCTGCTGGCCTGTCCACCTGGGGCAAAAATCAACCCAACTGCCATCCAATTGATTCCAGCTCATAAGAACCCTGTAGGACCAAGTAGAACTTCCCCTGTGGGCTTCTGGGGCTGTAACTGCACAGGAGTCGAAAGCCTCCTCTTTCTCCCGAGGACCAGCTGGTGGTTTCGAACATCAAATCTTCATAGCCACACCCTTATAGTTTGATTCTGTGTAACTGCCCTGCAATGGGACTTCAGAATTCTCGGGTAATTTTTATCTCTTTTTTTTTCCTTTTTTTTTTTTTTTTTTTTTTAACATTTTATTAGGGGCTCATACAGCTGTTATTCCAATCCATACACACATCAATTGTGTAAAGCGCATTTGTACATCGTTTCTCAAAACATTTTCTCTCCATTTAAACCCCCGACATTAGGTCCTCATTTTTCCCCTCCTTCCCCACTCCCCCCTCCCGCATGAGCCCTTGATAGTTTATAAATGGGTATTTTGTCATATCTTGCCCTATCCGACTTCTCCCTTCATCCACTTTTCAGTTGTCTGTCCCCCAGGGAGGAGGTCACACACAGTTCCATGTAATCGGTTCCCTCTTTCCTACCCATTCTCCCTTTACCCTCCCTGTTTTGCCACTCACACCACTGGTCCTATAGGGCTCATCCGTCCTGGATTCCCTGTATTTTCAGTTCCTATCTGTACCAGTGTACCTCCTCTGGTCTAGCCAGTCTTGCAAGATAGAATTCGAGTCATGGTAGTGGGAGCAATTTTTATCTCTTCTACCTGCCTTCCCTGTCCCCATAGATACCCAAAGCAGAGAAAGGTAGTGTTGGGTTGGGCCCTGTGAGGGAGAGTCAAGGGGGGCTTGTTCTTCATTTTACCAGGGAAACACCCTCTGGATGTCTGTGAGTGAAGTCTAATAATGATTAAAAAGTCAGAATGATGAGGGCAGCAAATGTACAAATGTGCTTGACACGATGGATGGATGGATTGTGCTAAGAGTTGTATGAGCCCCCAATACAATGATTTTTTTTAATCACTAATGGTGATCAGTCACCTTTTATTATTATTTTTGTAATGCAAAGTATCCCCTCCAGAGTCGGGGTTAAGGGGAGAAGGCAGGTAAGTTAGGTGTGTATTAGAAGGCAGTGTGTTCACTAGAAGGGGAGTGGTGTGAATGGTACTGAAGAGAAGTACCCTGTTTTAACCAGAAGGTGGTGCTGCATTCCCTTGCAATCAGCTCTGGAGGCCTTCCGGGAGAGCTAGGTGCTGGCCTAGCTTTTCAGGTCAGTCGATAGAATGCAGCCATGCTGCCAGCAGGTTTGTGCTTCTGTGGGGTTTAAGATAAATCTTGGTTTCCACCCCAAAAATTCCAGTCTCACTGCATGTGGTTCTCAAACTTTGCTGAACGTTAGAATCTCCCTGGTCTAAAAAGCTCAACTGCCATCGCAGCAATGTAGACTCAGCGACCCTAGGGACGGTATGAGCCTGTAGGGTAGGGCAGAACTACCCGGTGGGTTTCCAAGACGGCAACTCTTGATGGGAGTAGAAAGCCCCATCTTCTAAAAACGACGGGGTTTGTACAGCAGCCCAGTGGGGAACCCTCTGGGACCTTAAGAATCCACCTCCGTGGGTATCACCACCACCCAACTAATTAAAGAGCCCCTTCTCTTGGATGGTCTTGAAATCGCCTGGGAGGTTGGCCTGGGAGCCAGTGCCCTGAGCCACGTTGTTCTTTTTTGTTAAAACTAGCTGTATGTCACAGAAGACCTGAAGTCGGCCGTGTGGCTCTTCCTCCTTTGGAGGGGTTTAAGGCTGTGAGCCTGGTCTTTGTTGCTGCTTGCTTACTTGTGGGCTATAGCACAAAGAAAAGTGTGCTACGTATAGTCGCACAGCTCGTCAACACACTGACGGTGCTCCATTAAACGCCCCATGGGTGTTCTTTTCAACTTCAGTGTTTTCTTTTCCCTCTCACACACCCCACCCCACCCCGTCCCACCTCCCTGTCCCTCTGTCCCTTCCCTCTCCCTCGTCCCCCTGGCCTAGACATAGTCTTCAGAGTCATTTCCTTTGGTGGTAGAACCACTTTTTTTGTTTTAGTCTTCCATACAAATGGTGTCATAAGCTATCTTTGAGATTGACTAACTGCTGAACATGTCTTCCAGCTGCGTCCATGTCGTGAGGTGTTTGACAGAGTCTCATTGTTGTCTAGGGATGGGTAATACTCCACTGACTGTGTGTACCAAATGAATGTATCCATTCCCTTCTAGAGAGGGCTTTTGTTTTATTTTGTTTGTTTGTTTAATGACCTTTGAAGGAGGTAGTACTCTTCTGGAGACAGGGCATGTTTTAAGCCCTCCTGATGGCTGATGTGCAGCAGGGTTGGATCCGCGGGCTAAGAAAGCTGGCACCCAGGTGCCCGTGGAGTAGCTGAGCTGGGTGGAGAAGGTGTGGAGCAGCAGGGCAGAAAGGGCTAGCTAATCTGCCTTTACCTGCCGGAGTGGGCCCCAGTTAACCAGGATGTGAGCAGGTCCTGAGCCTGGCTGAGATGACAGTCTGCAAAGCACAGCCGAGGGCCAGTTGTCATCCACAACCCTTTGCCTGTGTGTCCTTCTAGCTTTGTCACGACAAACTGCGCCCTGCAGTTCTCGGCCCGAGGGATCCGGCCCGGACTCACCACTGTCCTCGCGAGGAACCTGGACAAGAACACTGTGGGTTACTTGCAGTGGCGGTGGGGGATCCAGTCGGCCATGAACACAAGCATCGTCCGGGACACCAAGACCAGCCACTTCACTGTGGCCCTGCAGGTGAGGACGGCGCTCTCCTGGAGGGTCAGCAGGCTCTGATGGGTTTGCAACCACCACTGGTGGGGTAGACTCCGGGGACACCTCTGGGAATGGCACCTCAGTGTCAGTCTTAGACTCCCAGGGTGGCTGCATTCAGATGGTCCTGAAGCAAAGAGCCATCGTCGCATCTTCTGAAAGGGGAGGCCCAGCTTGGTCCAGGGAGCCCCAAAGCAGTCATGCTCTCAGATCCTTGGGAGCCAGGTGGGGTTGTAAATGAATGAAAGTAAACGGCAGGAGAATGGGAACCCCAGCCTACTTGAAGGGACCGTGCCTAAGAAGCTAGACATCTCTAAATACTGGCTGCAAACCAGTGCTCACACTCCTGGTGAGGTTCCCTAAAAGACACCTCTGAGGTGGAGGCACAGCCCCGGGGAGGCAGTTGCCGATGTCCCACAGAAAGGCCGGAGTACCCGCCAGCACTCAGTTGACCTTGTGTCTCTTCAGCTTGGGATCCCACACTCCTTCGCCATGATCAGCTACCAGCACAAGTTCCAGGATGAGGACCAGACTCGGGTCAAAGGATCGCTGAAGTACGTCGAGGCTCCCTGCGAGTGGAGCCTCCCCAAGTGTTTCCTGAGTGCCTCCTGCTGCCCGTCAGGGGCATCAGTCAGGAACCTGCGCCTCCCTTTGGGGTCCGGAAGGAAGGGCTGGAGGGGAGACGCCGGGAGCCCGCCCTGCCTCACTGGCCGTCTGCTCTCACAGGGCGGGCTTCTTTGGGACGGTGGTGGAGTACGGAGCAGAGCGGAAGATCTCCAGGCACAGCGTGCTGGGTGCTGCGGTTAGTGTTGGCGTCCCACAGGGCGTTTCGCTCAAAGTCAAGTAAGTTTACCTCAGATCTCTGTGGCCAAAAATATCTGCCGACTTCTAGCTCAGCTGGACTTGGCTGTATGAAGTAGCCTTTGTTTGCCCTGTGATTTTGGTGTGTAAATGATGTCACGGGGTGCAGAAGGCCTGTGTAGGAAATCGGGGCCTCCTCTGGCTCACCTGTCAGCCTATTGGCCTGCCCCTCAGGCTCAGACATCTCATGTCGGGGCTCGCCTCTGTCTGGTCCGCACACAGCCCCTTCCCCGCCTCCTAGCTAGGGCCCCTCTGCTGTCCTGTGAAGAGTCATTCTCCAGAGCTGCCTGTCCTTCCTCCCGCCTCTCTTTCTGTTTTCTCTGAAGCTCCTCCAGGCCCACGGTGTCCCTCAAAGCTGCCGGTCCAGGGGGCAGGGCTTGATCCCCATCTCGCTTGATCTCCACAAAAATGGACTCGATGGACCATTGTGTGTTCCCCACCCCCCACCCCCGCCTTTCTTCATGGACTACAGATTGCTTCTCTCTCAGCTCTGGCCGTGCCTTCCAGCCGGCTGCTCCTTATCCCCAGGCTGCTAAGTGGAGGCTGCCGTCAGGCTAGCCCTTCTCTTTCCAGCTTCCCATATGAACTACCCCCATGCACAGATGAGCTCCCCGCTGGGCCCTCACCCCTGCACCCTCGGACACCCAACTTCTTTTTCTAAATCTCTATTTGGGTATCAAATCATATCTCAAACATCCCATAGCCAGAACAGAACTTAACCCCCCTCAGACAGTCTCGCCCCACCCCACCTTAGTAAATGACAGCTCTGCCGTTCTCTATATACAGGTAACCTGACGTTCGTTATCCCTGCTGCTTCTCCCGCCTTCCAAACTAATGAATCTCAGAGGGCTTTCAGCTCTGCTAGCCTTCAGAGTCTGCGCACTCCCCTTACCCACCCCCCCCCCCCAATTCCTGCGACCTCACTGCTGCCTCTCATCTGCAGGATGGCGGTATCCATCTGCCTAATGTCTCTCCCCTCATCTCTCCCTTTCCCCGGAAACTCTCTAACTCACAGGACCTCACAGGCCAGCATAGAACGGCTCCATGGGGTTTCTGAGACGGTATTTATGGGAACAGACTACCACGTCTTTCTCCCTGGGGATGACTGGTGGTTTGAACCACAGACCTTTCTGTTAGCAGCCTGATGCTGAACACACTGCCCCACCAGGGTTTCCCTCATTACCTTACTTTACTCTGCTGCACCAAATCGTTCTGACAGGCAGGCTGGTCTCATCCAGATAAGCCCACTGAGGACTGCGGCTTTGTTTTTGTTCTCTGTCTACTCCCAGAGTCTAAAACACAGCCTGGTGGTTAAGTAGACCACACCCCATTGTGGGAGATGAGAGCCAGCATAGGTGCCCAGGCCCCCTTCTCTCCTCCCATAAGATGAGGGCACACCTGAGAGTTAGTATGAAGGACCTCAGAAAGGCTGGGAAAACACTGGGCCTCCACTCAAGTTCGCCCTCAATGCAAGAACACTTTGTTCTAATGACCCGGCCTTCTGTGCTGCTCACCTTCCGACACGATCGCTGAAGACAAAGCGGGTGCATAAGCAAATGTGAAGAAAGCTAATGGTGCCTGGCTATCGAAAGATATAGCATCTGGGGTCTTAAAGGCTTGAAGACAAACAAGCGGCCATCTAGCTGAGATGCAACAAAACCCACATGGAAGAAGCACACCAGCCTGTGTGATCATGAGGTGTCAATGGGATAAGGGTGGGATAAGGTATCAGGCATCAAAGACCCAAAACAAAACCAAAAAATCATATCAATGTGAATGACGGGGAGTCCAGAGTGGAGACCCAAAGTCCAGCCGTCTACAATCCCCTTACAGAGGGGTCACAAGGAAGAGACAGCCAGAGTGCAGTATAGCACCAACAAAACACACAACTTTCCTCTAGTTTTTTTTTAATCATTTTATTGGGGGCTTGTACAACTCTAATCACAATCCATACTTGAGCCCTTAGTATCCGCTCATAATTACTCCTCCCCACTATCATGACCCCAATTCTACCTTACAAATCCAGCTAGATCAGAGCATGTACACTGGTATAGATAAGAGCTCCCAACACAGGGAATCCAGAACAGATAACCCCCTCAGGACCAGTAATGAGAGTAGCAATACTAGGAGGGAAAGGGGAGATGGGGTGGCGGAGAATCCCCAGGGTGATGGACAACAGAAAAGTGGGTGAAGGTAGACAGTGGTCCATGTAAGACATGAAAAAAATAATTTATAAATTACTGAGGGTTCATGAGGTGGGATGAGCTGACACCAAGGGTGCACGTAGAAAGAAAATGTTGTGGAAATGATGATGGAAACATACAAATGTACGTGACACGATGGATGGATGGATGGATGGATTGTGATAAGAGCTGAAGAGCCCCAATAAAATGATTTTTTTTAAAGGCTTGGAACATCTTGATTGTCCATTTTCCCTGTAGTTTGTGAAACCCCTTCATAAAGGACAAAGAGCTGTCCATGGTCTCTTTTTTTTTTTTTTTTGCCCCTGAATTGGGACCACTTGTAAGGCACATCAGTTCTCTGGGATTCCTTTTGCTTTTTAAACACTTTGCCCATATAGAGAGCCCTTGACATGATTTGAATTGAATTCACACTGCCCAGAATGCCACTCTGCCTCCTGGGAAAGAGAGATTTTCATTTTAGCCAAGTTTTCTGCCAATACAGCCGGGATTGTCTGCCGGTTGAATTGGTGTCCATACCAAAGGTTTTCCAGAAGGCCCCAGAGTTCAATAAAAGCAGCTGATTGTACTTTGTTAGCTTTCGTCTTAGTGCAGTTTACATGGTGCGTTACATTAATTGCTAAATGCTTAATAAACCCATACATATCTGGGAACACCCCACTTGATCATGACATATATTCATAGTTGTTTGGTGTGATTTTACTTAGGACTTTTGCCTCAATTTTTTGTTTTTTGTTTTGTTTTATAAGGGTGTTAGTCTGTAGCTTTCTTTTTATTAGTAGTAGTATATAATTTGTCAGGTTTGGAGACGAGAGTTAGTGTTAATTGGGAAGTGTTTCTTTCTTCACAATTGTCTGAAAGAATATGTGGAAGGTTGGTGATACTTCAGCCCTTTATGTGATGGAGTTTACCTGGGAAATCATTTGAGCCAGAATTTGCTTCATGGAAAAGTGTTGTTCCGCAGGTATACGAAGAAGCCCTGTCCTCTTGGCCCCTGCTCTTTTCTCTGTTCTTTATGATAGATCTTTTCTAAGTTCCTGGGTTGTGAGAAACCTTGTTGCAATCCCAGACACCGTATTGGTTCCTCTTGGTAACTGATGGATCGGTATAAACCCCTGATCAAGGCCATGCCCCATGGGGCTGAGAGAGAACTGGGGCCGAAGGACTGCTTTACCCCGAGTTTACGGGATTTTAACTGACAACGCTCAAGAAATCCAATCTGTGCTCGCTTTAGCGAGATAAGCCTTTATTGTTCAATTTTACAAAATCGGGCAAAAAGGGAGGGATGAGCCTCACAGCTCCTCTGAACGCATTTTAGCCCCTTGTTCACAAGCCCCTCCCCCGGTTCCTCATTGGCTAAGTACCATGGGGTTACCCATCTTTCCAGAGCTCCTGAGAGTTTTCTCCCTCTCCCTGCCTTTCTTAATGCATCAGGTTTGCACATTCCATATCCCAGGTGACGGAGCGCTAGTGATTGTCCTGTGGGTTATGGATCAGTGCCCTGGCTCTGGAGCAACTACCTGACTCTTGCTTGCTGCTGATGGAGCAGCCTAGTGACTTGTTTCTCACGGGGTTCCTGATCCGCCTTCCAGCCCACTGCCGCCCGTCTCCAGCTTCCCTTACACCCAGTGACTGTTTCATCTCAGAGATTGGGTTTCTTGGTTTTAGATTTTGTGTTTATAGTTTTACTTTCTCAACTGAGACTTTGTTATTTTCCATTCATTACGAACCTGTCGTCCTTTCCCTTATTGTAGTAGCTGCTTTAAAACCCCATCTGCTCTGTCCAGGATCTGGGTCATCTTGGAGTCTGTCTCTGAGCGTCTTTTTCCATGTCTCCCTGATTCCTTCTTTGTAGTTTTGGATTTTATTCTGGGTGTTGTGTGTGACAGGAGCCCTGGTGGCACCGTGGTTCCACTTTGGGCTGCAATCTACAAGGTTGGCAGTTTGAAACCACCAGCCACTCCCTGGGAGAAAGATGGTGCTTTCTACTCCTGTAAACAGTTACAGTCCCAGCAACTCACAGAGACAGTTCTGTCTTGCCCTGTAGGGTCACTGTGCATTGGGCATCCTCTTGATGGCCGGGAGTTTGGTTTTGGTTTGGGAATGTGAGTGATGCACTGTGAGCACTACGTTCTGTTCCGTGTCCCGAGAGTACTGAATTGTATTTTAGAGCACTGAGTTCAGACTGCACACTCTGGTGGGCCTCTGGTGGGCAGCAGCCAGAAACTCTGGGCGATGATTTTTGCCTTCCCTGGAGACCCCTGGCGCATTAATATACAGAGCTACCGGCTCCCCATCTCTGGTTCTCTTTTCTGGGGACCCCACATCCCAGGGGCTTTGGCTGCCTCCCAGCTCTGAGCTTCCATCTAATAGCGCTACAGGTTTCCCCGAGGTTCGGCCACATCTGCAGTGCCCCCTGGGCCTTGCCTTCAAGTTGAAGGTAGTCCAGTAAAAGCCCAACAGCAGCCAATCCCAGAACGGGATGCTAGCTCCTGCCCTTCGTCCTTACCCTTCCTGCCCTTCCCAGTAACACACGGACACACCCCGATGTGTGCCCAGGCCCGGGGTGACCCAGAGGGAATGCTGCTGCACCATTCCTTTGCCCTCAAGGTCAGCATTAGCGGGGCCTTTCTTCTGTCTCCTTTGTCAAACGCAGCGGCTCCTCTGTGGAGTAGGAGGCTGGCAGAGTGGCAGAAATCATGCAGCCAGCAAACACCTAGTTTGTATACCTAAGAAGTCAGTCGCCCTGTGCTTAAACACCAGCCCCCTGACTGGTCTTGTTTTGTTCTTTTCAGATTAAACCGAGCCAGTCAGACTTACTTCTTCCCGATCCATCTGACAGATCAGCTGCTCCCCAGTGCTGTGTTCTACGCCACCGTGGGGCCGCTGGTGGTCTACTTTGCCATGCACCGGCTCATCATCAAACCATATCTCAGGGCGCAGAAAGAGAAGTGAGTTTAAATGGTGGGGGGCGGGGGGGTGATCACTGTACACAGTTCTGCCTCAGTTTTCTCGTCCATAAAATGGAGCTAACCACAGAACCTACCCCACAGGGTTGCCAGGAAAAGTAATTAATTCAAATAAGTGCTTGGCATGACATCTGTCCCAGAAATGCTTAGGAATGTTCCCTGTTGCTCCATTATCATCATCGGTGGTGGTGTGTCTCATTCATAACCTTTCCTTTGAAGTTGGTTTAAAAATTGAGGTTCTACCTCAGTAATTCATTCTACCATGTGAGATTAAACCATTTTCCTTTACTTATCCTAACAAACAGTTCCTTTTCCTGGCACTGAATTCAAAGAGGATTGGGGTCTAGGTTCTTACATAACATCAAAGACATTAGCTCTTGTCAGGGAGCCATCAACATGCAAATTACAGTTTCTCGTTGATAACCCACTGGGTCATGACAGCAGATTTAAAGCCTTGGTGAGGGCAGCTCCTCTTAATGAGCGTGCACTGGGCTTGGGGAATGCAGGAGACGGGAATGAATCTCGGCTTCCAAGCCTGGAACAAGTAAGGTACCGGGGTCAGGTCCTTTGACAGGTCAGGGGTGGGCAGACCCAGGTCCCCGCGAGAGCTAAAGGAACAGCTTTCCTCTTCTCTCACGGGCGTTAATTGTCCTCAGCACGCATGTGACATAGCGTCCTGGAAAGTCGGGGTGTCTCCTGTGGATCTTGGCCCAGGCCTCCACTTCCCAGGGCTGCATGCGCCCGGAATCTGTCTGCTCGAGCGAGAATGTGGGCTTCGGGAAGCAGGGCGCACCACCCAGGGTGTAACAGGTTTGCTTGAGCCCGTCTTGGAGCTAGCTGTGAAAGCTCTCCTAGTAGAAACCCTCTCCGTGACTGATGTGGTTGCCGGGCTCGGGGCCAGCGGGCCTCTGCTGACTCACTGCTGTGTAGCCCCGCTAACGGGTGGCTTGTTTCTCACGCAGGGAGCTGGAGAAGCAGAGGGAAAGCACGGCCACAGACATGCTGCAGAAAAAGCAAGAGGCGGAAGCTGCCGTGAGTGCTCGCGAAGGAAGGCTGCCCCGCCCCTGCTGGTCGCCCCTCTCTCTGGGTTTCCCTGCTGCCCTTGTTCTTAGCTCAGGGGTGTGGGAGGGGGCCCCAGACATCTTTCCCTGCAGTCTCCCTGTTCGTTTCAGGGTATGTATTGCTTATGGGCCACCAGACTGGGGCCTTCCATCCTTGTCCTAAAGGTCAGATACACGAGCCCTCAGGCATAATGAAGTGTCTTTAAACTCAACGCTGTGGACATTGTCCTCTTTTCAGTCTTTTGGAATGGTGCCCTCTGGAGAGATGGCAGGGTACTTGTTGGTTCTTCGTGGGCAGAAGGGCTGGGATGCAGGGGCGTACAGCATACAGACAAGTGACTCAGAGCATGCCACAACCACATGTGCAGACTGGGACATGGGAAACAGGCCCTTAGTAAAAGGAGCTGAGAACACGGCTTCGGTGTTGATGCTCCGTCGTATGTTCTGACGGGATCGGTTAGGTCTGCCCACCTCTGGACCATTGGGAGGAAGCTGAGATGCTGCTGTCGCTCACCCCGCTGGGTGTCTGGGGTGGGGAGGGGTTTATGCCATCGCTGGAGCCGCTTACTCCTAGGGCTGGCGGGTGAGGCCGAGCTTCCTTCCTCCCTTCCCGAGTCCTGAGCAGCTGAAGTATGGACAGAGGGCCTCAGACTTGTGGCTGGGTGCACCCCACAGACCCTATGTCTCTAGGCCTCTGAATATAAAGGCAGGGCCCAACAAGAGTCCTGACAATGGTCATTCTTGTTTTCTGGCAGGTTCGGTTGATGCAGGAATCTGTCCGAAGAATAATTGAGGCAGAAGAATCCAGGATGGGTGAGAAGGCAGGCCCTCTGTTGGGCCAGCGGAGACAGGGTGGGGGGCGGTGCCCAGGGTCTCTCAGGAGCCTCTGCCAAGCTGAGCAGAGACATGTCCTCCGGTGACCGGCTCTGGCCCTTACTACTCTCACTCCTCAGGCCTTATCATCTTGAATGCCTGGTATGGAAAATTTGTCAAGGACAAAAGCAGGAAGAACGAGAAGGTCAAGGTGATTGACGTGACTGTTCCCCTGCAGTGCCTGGTGAAGGACTCCAAGCTCATCCTCACGGAAGCTTCCAAGGTAGAGCAGTGCCCTCCCGGCATGCCTTCTGAGGAGACTGGAAAGGAGGGGGACCGAGTCTGTCTGGCAAAGATAGCCTGGCCCCTTGGCTGCAGCGGGGACCTCACGTGGCCTGTGTTGCCCACAGCCCAAGTAGCCGCAGCACTGGAATCACTCTTTGCCATCAGGCAGCACATCCCTACCACTGAGCGCCTGCTGTGTGCTGGGTGCCTCTGGAGTGCAGCAGCAAGCAAAGTGGGCATCCTGCCTTGCGGCATGCACCTTCTGATTTCCTTGCCTGGCTCCAGAATGTGCGGTCACTTGGAGCACAGGTGTAACTCAACACTGCAGGCCCAGGCTGTGAAGATGAAACTCAGGTTCCCTCGGCCAGAGGCGGCCAAGCCTGAGGAAGTGCTAGTGTTCGGTCCCAGGCAGACCCCAGGAGGTGTCTTTAGCTTGGGGACAGGAGCCTGTGTGGAGGGGAAGCCTAGAACAAAATGTACAGCATTTTGAAATTCTCATGCATTTTCCTTGAAGCCCTATAGCTAGCATATGTCCTGAGCCCCTCCATAGGGGAAAGTCAGGCCCTCACATTAGTAGCACCTCAAGGCAGAGCGGAGTGGTGTGGCTGCGGCGTGGGGCGGTCTCCTGGGTCTGCAGGGTCAATTTGTGTGTTCCAGGCTGGGCTGCCCGGGTTCTATGACCCCTGCATGGGTGAGGAGAAGAATCTGAAAGTGCTCTACCAGTTCCGGGGGGTTCTGCACCAGGTGATGGCGCTGGACAACGAGGCCCTGAGGATACCAAAGCAGTGTGAGTGGCCACCGCAGCCAGCCCAAGAGGGGAGCAGCCACTGTTGGGTAGGGGCATCAGAGGCCAGCCCAGGGGACAGCAGCCACGTGTGCCTCCACCTAAGGAACAAGGGGGCCTTGGCATTGCCACCGATGCAGTCATGACCTGATGCTCCGAGGCGAGCCTCTGTCTCCTTCGGGCAAGGATTCGTGAGCCCTGCTCCTGTAAACTGCAGTTGGGGTGGCTGTGTGAGAAGGCCACACCCCTCGTGTTCTAAGCGTGTCGAGATTGACCTGGGCAGCTGGCATCCTGGTTGCCCCACTTCTGGTCTCTGTGCTGCCAGGCCTGCTGTAGAAAGGGAGGGACTAGGAACGTTTGTTGCCTTGTGATACCTAGTCTCTCTTGTCTTTCACAGCTCACAGGATTGATGCAGATGGATAAACTCCCTGAGAAGCGAGATTTAAAAGAGGCTGCAAAAAAAATCTTGTCCTGGGAATCTACAAATTTGAAAGCAGGGAAAAGGCCAAACATCAGATGTTTTTATTTTATATTATTCCAATAGGCAGTGGTACCGTATCAGTTCTGTGCAGAGACACACAACCCCCCCAGCTCTCACAGGTGCTGGCCGGTGACCCGAGGCAGCCCCGCCTGGACCAGAGCCACACAGCCCTGTCAGTTGTCCCACGGATCATGTTCCTGGAGGGAGGGACCCTCTGGCTTCTCTTTGTGCAGGCCGCCTGCCGCCTGCCACCACCCCTGTAGTCCTTCCTCGGTCTGCCCTGAGGTGTGCGCGGAGCATCCCACCCTCACAGTCGGAACTGCGAACCACTTCTTATGTCCAGACTGACCGTGGAAGGTAGAGTGGGACGGAAGGAAGAAAGAACTGCACCTGGGCAGAGGCTACCAGGATCATGGGCAATTTGGCTCGCCCCGCCAGCTTCCTGACCACCCTCTGGGTGGCGACATCGCAGAGCCAGTCTGGCGTACACCCTGGGGTCTGGCAGGCTTTCTCAATGAGAACATCTGGGTCTGAAATCTGGTCTTTCCCCTCCCTCCCAGCGTCTCAGCAACCATTCCAACTGGCCCTGGCCTGGGAGAGGGGTGTGGCCCCGGTCCCAGGGCCCACCCCTGTGCCCATCTGTCCCTTCCAGGAGTCACCTCCACCACCACCCCAGACTTGGCTGCGTGACTCGCTGTGCCCACCCAGACCTACAGCACTGGGGAGAGGCGCTCAAGACCAGGGCCTGAGACACGTGCCAAATCCTGAGCTAGGAGGGCACGGGCTCCAGCCCACCTCGCTTGCGCTGCGCCGCAGCCCCAGCAGATGGCGCTGCTGCTCCCCAGGAGCCGCCTCCCTGCAGGCCCCTGGTCTGACAGCAGAACCCTCACCTCCAGGGACAAACGGGCTGTGGGCTGCCGGTCCTTACCTGTTAACTGATGCAAACAACCTCCCGCCGAGAGGGGGCCCCTGTGCTCCTGGGAGAAGGGACCGTGGGGGCTCCCTCCCCGGGCGGTGGTCCGCCCCACCCTCCAATTCGTGATCGCGGTTCAGGTCGTATAATCTCCATTTAAACAGATCTCTGACCTGAACCCGGAATGTGGATCGTGCAATAAACCTTGTGTCGCGTGGGTCTCTGGTAACCGCCCTGTCCCTGGGCTGCGGGTGGCTCTTGTACGGAAGGCACCGTAATAAACCTTTGCAGAAAGCTGGGGATCAGACTCGGTCTGTTCCTCGGCGGAGCCCCAGCCCCCACCCTTGCAAGCCCTGGGCGGACGCGGTTCCCTACATGAGTCTTGAGAAGGGGCACACGGCCGGCCGGGCCGGGGTCCCCGCAAAGAGCCTTCTGAGAAGTCCAAGGCAAGCGCAGTGCGGGCGCGGGTGCCCCCACCTGGGCGCGGGCGGAGTCCGTCCTCCCTGCTGGGAAACGGAGGCGGCGCCGCGGCCATAGCAGACGCTTTATTCCAACCAGGCCGCCTGCCTCTCGGGGACCCCCACCCACCGCCGTGGGGTCAGTGCTCACCCCTCTCTTGGGGGGCGCTGGCCAGCACCTGCAGCCTGTGGCGCCCGCCCTGCCGCGTGCGCGGGGAGGCCGG